ATATGTGGATCATAATTGTTAAATAAAAACCTCATTTATGTTGTGCCTGAAGAAATGACTAATGAAAAGTTGAATTACCGCAAAAATACATTTCCAGTCTTTCTTCAAATTTCTGCTACCATGTGAACATTTTGTTGGCTTTGCACTAGATCCTCCAGGCTGTTATTAACGAATGTGACAGCCAAGCAGTGCATGTTTAATCTCTTTGTTTGGACAGGGTAAGTAGACACATAACACAGGATCTTGCTATTATGAATCCATGAAAAAGCAGGACAGTAAAACAGTGCTCTTAATTCTGGGTTCAGTCTTGTAGTTTGCTGCAGGTTTTGGCAGCACAAACTTCAAACCAGATGAATAATATGACAACATGATGCACGAAGACTAGAGTGTTGCACAGCACTGTTGTAGCTGTGTCCTCAACTGACTAATAGGGGCCTTGGAAGAAAAGTGACATGACTGGTTTAATCAAGAACATGAACAGTGAATAATTTTGTATTTCATTTGGAGTATGTTATCATTTCCACTGGGTCATATTTACATAGTTATAAAACTTATATATCCGTGTCCCTACTTTGAATCATGAACTACTGAAAAATAATCTTGAAGTGATGTCTGATGTTTTAAAAGGCGAAACATCTGCAGTGCCATTATTGATGGGGATGTAGCCAACAAAAAGAGAAGCGCTGAATAATTGTTAATAGTAAGCTGACAATGTGCAGCAAAGTAATTTCAAATGTAATGACCATTCAGTAGTGTTGCGAAATTGACATATACGCTTTGAGTCAAAAGCTCCTGTTTTTATCGAAATAACTTTGAATGACTCAAAGTTAAGTGGTCAACCCATAGACCACTTCACCCCCTAACCAGAAATGAAGCTGTCAATCATGTTGTTTTGTGTGAATTTATGCATTATTAGGACAATACTGTTCTTCAGGAAGTGTAAATGGCCATCAGGGGCCTCATTTATAAAACTGTGCGTAGGATTCATACTTAAAGTTTGCATACACACTAAATGGGGCCTGACAGATGTGCACGCAACTCAGTACATTCAACAACATAATGACACAAAACATCAGAAGTGAAGAACCATTGAGAACCTTCACATGATGACGAGCAGCACAGTCTCCAGACTTAGGAAAACAAAATTACAAGTGCAACAAATCTTTCTGAACGTCTTCAGCTCTGTGGGGAAAAACTTCCTGAAGTTTTTAATTTTAGAAAGAACACTGTGTTCCACTGCTGGATGAGTCAAGCATTAAGATAAAATTTTGTTCAACAGAAAGATTGAACGATTCCTTGTTAAAAATGTCCCAATAGTTTTTGCTATGCTTCAATTTCAGATACAATGAGACATTGAGTGTTCTCAAACTTTCAACTGATGCTGTATTTTGAATAATTTCCCCTAAAAGGTCCAGTGTGTAAGATTTAGGTGAAAGGGAACTTTAATGTAGAATAATCCTCATGATGTTTTCACTAGTTCGTTTCATCTAAATTGTATGAATTGTAGTTTTCTTTACCCTAAAAAAAGGCCCTTTATATTTAAATACTTTATATTTACATCGAGGGGACCCTCTCTACGGAGGCCGCCATGTTTTTTACATTAGTCCAGACTGGACAAACTAAACTCCTTTTGAGTTTTTACGACAACTGAAGTTTACCACAAGTTCTTTTTTATGTTTAGAAGGGGGGGTGAGGTGAGCGGTATTCAGCTGCAACATGCAACTTCAACACTCGATATCACAAAATTCTTCACACTGTACCTTTAAGCATTATTTAAGTTACTTACTTCTTTTCCCTACAGTTTTTGATACAGACACTGCACCTTAAGGTATCAAATATTTGGTCTTGGTCTCGGCCCAAATTCTTAATCTTTGCTGTTACAGGTCGTGGGAGAGGTGACAGTATGTTCATGGTAAATAATAATTTACTCAGCTTGGTTTCTCTCCCACATAAATGAGCCCCACAGTTCGTTGGCACATGCAAATTCCTAAAGGTCTTAAAATAAAAGGCTAGAACAATAGGTTCCGAGCAGCTGGTTTAGTGCTCTGATCCCTCCAACACAACATGCACATAAACTACAAAATTATTTGTAATTATACTTAGAAACTGATGAGAGATCATTGGGTTGTAATATTTTTTTTACTCTGAGAATGTGTTATCATTCTGACTGTAGTGCTCTCTACTTTGTGTGCTTGAAGCAGAAATAACCTGAACTGACTTAAATGACTGATGTAATGTGCTAGGAATTGGAGCAAAGAAGCAGGTTACCTTGGGTCTCTGAAGTTTTAAAGTCTCTAGTTGGGTAGTTTTGGTGTTTTCAGTGGAGGTGGTGGTGAAGGGATGTGAGGCCTCCACAAGTCAATCAATGCAGCAGGAAGTGAATTGCTCATTTTCTACAGCTTCTGCCGTGACAAGTGTGTTTGTGCTGTTCTGATTTGTGCTTTTTGGCATTTAAACCCCCCTATCCTTAACCCCATGACTCTTCATCACCACATACACATTATCACTCTCCATCATATGCATTCGACACAGATATTTATGCATTGATAGAAATGCACAGATTAAAAAATTAAATACAACTCATGCAAATACCCACAAATTATTGTAGAAAGTCCTCAAAAGATTGTTATGTACAATTACGATGTAAAACTCTTAAACTCCCAATGTAGCAAAGACCTTCCCAGCCAATCAAATCAAATATTCGGCCGATTTTAATCTACATTAATTATAAAATTGACCAACTTTTGGATGTGCTTTTAATTCCTAACCAGTTTGATGGACAAGAGATGACAGTGAGGCAACAACAGTTGAGGGGCCCTGTTAGGAGGTAGTGATGTGTCGGTCTGATGTCTTAGATTGAGACAAGCAGTAAAACAACATCTTGGGCTTTCCAAGATCTCATTTATCAACTGGTCTTTGTAGTTCACTGAGATACAATCAGGATTGTTAACTATTCCAACAAATGTCTTCGTTATCTTGTTGAACGTCTGAATCAAGATAAGGAAACGTCCAGTGGAAGATAATGGATGAGATAATTAAGTTTGGTGGCGCAATTGCTTTTTAGGACATTAACCTTCCTAGCCATTGTTAGATCAAGAACACCCACATGACAAGTAAAGTCTGGCATCACCAGATTAATTTGCTTTTGAGAATGGACTTGGAAACCCTAAGATGATTTAAAATGTGTTATTAACAGAGAAGACCTACATCCAATTTAAGAACAAACAAGCAAATATTTGGTAGCCATCTTGGCTGTGTACATTCATTAAATCAAACACATCCTATTTTAGTATAATGCTTGGGATTGGTCCACTATGTGGGGATGGAAATCAGTGTGAATGGGAGAGAGACCATCCCCATCTGCCAGAGTGAATACATTTGAGCTCTGGTTTACATGCTAATGCATCAGAGTCATAACAACAATCCTATAAATGATACTTTGACCTTTGTTTATTGCTACATGCAGTTGCATGGATCATTTGTCCCTTCTCTAATATTGCTTATCAATCCATCCATCCATTATCTGTACTTTATCACTAGCTTATCTTATGTCTTATCCTTTGAGGTAGCAAGGGCCGGAGCCAATCCCAGCTGACATTGGGTGAGAGGCAGGAATCACTGTGACCCTGGACAGGTCGCCAGTGTGTCACAGTGCTATATTCAGACAAGACAGGAGCAATGTTTTGACACACGACAGTCTTTCATGTGCACTACATACAATTAAAGCCTACGATATTCAATACTGATCCTGATTAGTTAAAATGCACTGTAGCTTCTGGTCAGGTTTATTTCCTCAATCAGTGAACAACATTGAGACGTACATTTACAACAGTCAATTCAATTTACACTCTGCTGTGCATCATGTCCCTTCATTCAGACTCTCTTGCATATGCAGCGTACATGCTCATGACCCTGCTGTGAGTCATCTTGTACTTCTCCTTTCTGGTAGCAGTCATTGTTCACTGTGATCCATGTTGGAGTGGTGCGATGTTGCCTCTGGCTTTCTGACGGGGGGAAACTGGAGCACAGCTCTGAGCCATAGGCAGAAATACCAGGCCTAACTAGGACATGTCGAGAAATGGGGCTAGCGGTGGGGCGTCTCTGACAGAGAACTTCATGGGAAATGATTAAAAGTGTCCCTGGGAAATGAAACAGACTCAGTGGTCACTACATCTGAATTTGATTGTTTGCCTCATATATGTTTGATTATTTGAATTGATTGTTGCAGGATCTTTCTCATAAGACAACCACAGTTCCAGGTGCACTGGTCCCATGTATACATTTCACCTGTGAATCATTCAGTTACATTAGTGCTACACAGCCATTATATGCTGACCTTTCAACATGAGTATGTCTGCTCTAAACACTTCTCACAGAGTGCATGTCTATGTATAGGATTTTTCTCTGATTATTAATCCACAGTTAAAGTTGATTGAGCACTTAATCTTTCGGTATTGTATCATAAAACAGTCTAATACCAGTTCTCCAGACTAAAGATGACTTTGTTTCCTTTTACTCAAGTTGATATTCAATTGACTATAATGTGATACCAAGAGCAGTAAACTTTCACACATAGGAACCTGTAACCATCAATGAATCATCAATTTAGTGGCATTTTTGCTTGAAAGATTATTTGAAATATTAATCAAATATTAAATAAATACTTGATTTTCTGTCAGTCAAACCCCAAAAAATGTTTTAAAGGAAGAAAAACAGAATTTTGTATTTTGCTCTCTTAGCTCAGTAATGATTGTACAATTCATCTTGTGACTTTTTGTGTGGGTAATGACCCCCAGGTTTGGAACCACTGATGATATTATAATACTGCTGAGAATTTGAATGAGGTGTTCTTTTAAAGAGGCAATTTTTTATGCATATCTTATTTGCCAAATCCCAGAGAAATTAACAAAATAGAATATTGTTATAAATGTTGTCATGCATCTGTACTGCTGTGTTTTTCCCCCATCGATTTCTCACTGGCTGCTTCATTCTCATTGCAGGAGACCAATGAAATTGTGGCCATTAAGAAATTCAAGGACAGTGAAGGTAAGAGAGCTCTTTTCCCTGATGAGGACAACACAAGGACAAAATTACCAGAGATCACATGTTTTTTAATTGTCAATCACCTCATACATTATCTTTATTTCTGTTGGGCTGCATCCCATTCTCCTCAATACATGTACCAGTGTATTCCTGATTTCCCTCTGTCTCACCTCCATGCAGAAAATGAGGAGGTTAAAGAAACGACACTGCGAGAGCTTAAGATGCTTCGCACTCTCAAGCAGGAAAATATCGTGGAGCTGAAAGAGGCCTTCCGCAGAAGAGGAAAGCTATATCTCGTCTTTGAGTATGTGGAGAAGGTAAACTCCCTCTACAGACCTTTTCCACACTGATTTGTTTTAATGTTACTATCACCACATATGGTGGTCATATTCGTTTTTTTGTTTGTATCTTATTATTTTTTAGAACATGCTTGAGCTGCTGGAGGAGTTACCAAACGGTGTGCCGACTGAGAAAGCACGCAGCTACATCTACCAACTAATCAAGGCAATCCACTGGTGCCACAAGCATGACATCGTTCATCGGGGTAAAGTGTCTATTTTTTATTGGGACATGAGGGAGGTATTATTAATGAGGTGTAGAAGAGACAGGAAGAGGCTCAGAGCGCTGCGTTGACTACTGCTCCATCATCACATTTTAGAACCAATTCTGAGGATGATAAAATAGAAAACATAAGACTTTTTTTCTTGAAACAGTGGCTCTAAAGGTTTTCTGATGTGTTGTGCACTACATTGTTCACAAAATGTGAGCTTTTGTCGAATCAATGGCAGCAGAGCAGGAAACCAGATGGCCCATGTGAGTTTTTGGCACGCTAAGTACAACTTAGCAGGCATCCAAGTGGCCTGTGGCATTTCCAGACACACATATGACAGTGTTACCAAGGGATTTGATGTATAAATTACGGTTTTAATTTACAATCTGTGAATTTTCCCAGATAGAATTAGATATTTTTGATTCTTTGTTTGATTTGTTTGTGACGAAATATCATTCACTTATTTAATCTTTTCATTGGTCTCATTGATGAGCATGTGGTGTGAAGGTAAAAATGATAGTGATGACGTAATGACGATGCCCCTGACCAGCATATGTGTCACACTCTCCATCTGTGTTTTCCCTCCACAGACATAAAGCCAGAAAACCTTCTCATCAGCTCTGACGACACCCTGAAGTTATGTGACTTTGGTGAGCACTGTTTTTGAGCATTCACACTGTAAGGAAGGCAGCCAAAAAAAACAGGCCAAGCTGTGATGTAGAAAAGATATTTGCAACAGAAACTATATTTGGCTGAAACCAGTGCTTCAGGAGTGAGCAGGCAGGCTTCATCTGGTTCATCTACAACTCTGCGTGCAGCCTCCTCTCTTGCTTCTCACACGGCTGCTGTGCATTCTCCTCTCATCTCAATTAATGAAACGTGTTGGAAAACAAGACGCGAATCACGCATTGATTCAATCTGGTCGTACCACAACAAAACAGGGGGGGAAGCAGAAAACATGGCATAGCCAACATCGTGAGGCAATCTGGAGTGAGAGACTGACGACCTGCTGATTGCTCTGTGTCAGTCAAAGGTATTGAGGGAGCAGACATGGATTCCACTGTGGAGGTTTACATTTTGAACTGTGGCATGCCACACATTTATTTTTATAGTGTGATGTTTTGATTTTGATTTCAGACTATAAGAAATGCCCAAGTTGGAAGTGAAAAGTTCATGCTGACAGCTATTAGCACCAGTTGTTAAATACTAAATGACTAAATGATCATTACAGATTTATTATTGCAGGAATTAAAAACGGACATTAACATTGGTCCTTCAGGACTTCTGCAATTGTTTTGCATTTTTAAAGAACTAGTTTATCATTATGGGAAGAACGCTTCTTAGCTTTCCTGCTGCGAGTCAAATAAGATGATTAAAACCACTTTAAGGGCTGTAGGCTAAATATGAAGCTAAGCTGCTTAACCTTGCATAAAGCTTGATAACATGGGAATACGTCTATTAGCATTTAGACTGAGCATTTTATAACCATGTCAATACAATTTAAAAAATATATATATTTTCCCATGTTCAATGTGCAAACTTTTAATAAAAACTCTCAGCTTTAACTACTGTTAACAAAGCCAGGCTAACCAATTTCCTATTTTTCTTACATCATTATCTTAAGCTAAGATAACAAGTTCCAAAATCTCAACAGATACAATATCAAATAGTTTTCTAGTTGTAATTTTATAGTCATTCTTCAGGATTATGAAAATTAATTCATATTTGTACCCATGTAGTTAAAATCTGACATTTTGCATCATTTATTCGCTAAAATATACAGCCACAGCTAGTGGCTTTAGTCACAGGATTATGAAAATGAATGACTGATGATGTGTCAAACAATATCCAGGATTACTATGATTTAATATTCCCAGAGGGTTAATCTTCTCTTCTACTGTATATGAGTACAGCTCTATCCTAACTCAGCTACTCTTTAAGATACTTGAATCTTAATGAGCTCCCAGAGAGGTACCAGACTGAAATCACTTTTAGGTGTCTCAGCATGTAGAGCATATCAAGAATCTCCTCATCATTCTTCATCATTCTTTCCAGGCTTTGCACGTAATCTCTCAGAGGGGACTGATGCCAATTACACAGAGTATGTGGCCACTAGATGGTACCGCTCTCCAGAGCTCCTGCTCGGGTATGTACTGTTTTTTTTTACCAAGCAGAGGTGAAAACTACAATCATTTAAGTGGCTATTCTTAAACCTGGCCTTCCTCAACAACCCTGTAAATCTCTGGTCCCAGGGCCCCTTACGGGAAGGCAGTGGATATGTGGTCAGTGGGCTGCATCCTCGGAGAGCTGAGCGACGGACAGCCTCTGTTCCCAGGAGAGAGTGAGATTGACCAGCTCTTCACCATTCAGAAAGTGCTGGGACCCCTGCCACCAGAACAGATGAAGCTCTTCTATAACAACCCTCGCTTCCACGGGCTGCGGGTAATGTCAGGCCACACATCACAACCCTCACTTTGGTTCTCTCTTCTGACCCATTTCTCCTTGATGCTCATAATTATTTCTGCTCCTTCCCTTTTCTCCCACATGATCTTCTCTCTCTTTTTGCTGTCTCTTTCTGCCCCCTCCTAATTCTCCTTCATCTTCGTCTTCTTCCCTTATTTATTTTCTCCCCCAGCTAAGTCTGTCCAATCTCTGCTTGTTTCTTTCTTTCTGGCGGAGTGTTCTGTGCCGTGACTGATTGGATCACAATGACTCATCGTGTGTCATGTATCCTGTATGCTCTGTGAAGGAAGGCTGCGTTAAGTCTTCTGTTGCAGGCTGGTGCTACAACAGACCTGGGTTATCCTTCTCTTCCCCTTCCTGCCCACGCCTCAGGATATAATTATTAGTTTGCAAACTGCCTTCTATGAATTTCTGCTGGTGAAACCAGCGTGATAATTATTCATTTTTTAAATTTTGGACATTTGATTAATGGCTGTTGGCATGCACCCTAAATTCCTGTCTAAATTTCAGCTCATGAATCTACATTAACATTGTTCTCTCCATTAAAATGCTCTCTACTGTAAAACAGGCACATGTTGGAGAGGGATTGTTTCTGAGTAAACATCACCTGCTATTGTTAGTACTCGCTCAAGGGGAAAAATATCTCTGCTCTCCACAACATTGCTATGCCTGTTAAATTTAAATTAATAGATAGCATCTGAAGAGTGGACATTCATACTTAAACCCTTATTACCAGGCAGACTCTCTTAAAAACAGTGGAAAAGACCACAACACTACCACTGAGAGGAGAATGTTTTTTTCAACGGAAGCACACAAACTATATTCATTAAAATATTAATGCAGAACACCAGCAAGACAGCACACAACACTTGTGAGTGAACGCAGGATGTTTCATGGTCGTTTTATCACATTGGCCACCTACGGTGTGCTTTCTGTAACACTTGGAAATGTGTTGACGTTCTGGACATTTTGTGTTTTTTTCTCTTGGCAAACAGCAGATTCACAATAGTCAAAAAGAAAACAAGAGTGGATGTGGAGGTAATCTCATGCAATAGTGCTCTTTGTAAACATTGTTTTAAAAAACTTTATCTGAGGAGTAGTAGCATCTGTCTGCTCTTCAGAAGATTTTACAACAGCGTCATCATAGTTACCTGACATCCCCTGCAAACTTAGGTTCATTAATTCACAGATGGGAAATTACTTAAGTTGATGTATGCAGTGAATATTACAATAGATATTTACCAGTCAAACATGTCAACAGACAGACCTCATGTGAAAACCTTATAGCAGCAACATTAGTGACACTAACATGCAAACCACCAGATATTCCAAGAGGACATTAGTTTACTTTAAGAACTTATCCAGCTACTGCAATATACTTAAAATAATCAATGGACAAATAAGACATAACCTATGACCAACTAAAACAGACCATAAATACAAAATCAATCTTAAATTGATCCATTTTAAAATGATAAGCATAAAATGAAAGTTAAGAGAAAGTGCTAAGTACAAACTATTATTCAGAGGGTTTAGGTATGTGGGCAAAAAAAAAAACCTTTATACTCTTTGTGTGAAGCAACTCAGGATATTAAATAAGTCACTCCACACACTTAGTAAAGTAAAAAACAAACAAATGATTACCAAAGTAAAGTTTGAACCCTCATATTTTTTTGTTTTGTTTCTAAGCTGTCCCTGATGATTCAGGGATCAGACCAAATGTAGAACCAGCTTTTTAATCCCCAGTAATTCTGTTACCCCAACATACAGCAGCATTAATACTAGGAAGTGGCCACACTGATAGCATTTTTAAGTTTCCAACTAGCCTCAAAGAACTTAAAGTGAGAATAAGCTTTTAGACATGTTAATGATTTTCGAAAATTCTCTGCATGTGTGAATGCAAATATCCAAGTGAGAGCCTCCGTATTATCTGCAAACTTTCTCCACCTGGCCCTTTAGTATGAAGTCAGCAGGGGACACTGACAAAGACGTCAAGAGAGTTCGTGACAAAATCTTGTGATCTCCGCATCAGAATTAATGTTACTTCCTGCCTCTGTCTACTGCAACCGGCTGCTCCACCTCTTGCCTAAATAATGCAGAGGAATCGTTGCTGCTTTGAACGCGTCTGTGCATTGAACCTCTCGCTGCGTTGTGCATGTGTGAAAGGTAAACTGCGGATAAAGTCCGGATAATTGGATCCGGATAGGTCATGACTGAAAACAGCTTTGGTAGTATTGAAGGTCAGGTAATTAACTTCTACACTTGGAATAAAACAAGTTGATTAACATGCAGGCATCTACTCTACACACAGCACAGTTGCTATTACTACAAAGCAGTAATCATTTGGCTGTTTACCACTCTGTTCTGTATTTTTTCCACTCTTGTTTCAGTTCCCTGCTGTGAACCACCCACAAACCTTGGAGCGCAGATACCTGGGAATCATTGGCGGAGGCCTACTGGACCTGCTGAAGGTAAGGATCACAGCAAAAATTGGCAATGCTGCTGTGCCGAGGAGTGACTTTTATTTTTTATCTTTTATCCATTTATGGTTATTTCCTGCTCACATAGTAGCCATGAAAACTACACACTCGATTGCGCCCTCGATAATGGCATCATTATCATCATGTTTATGTCGTGACTGCATGATGCCTCTTCACGGCTTCAGCATCTCTCAGCTCATATCCTGGTTCCAGCACTGCTGTTATTGCTGTGTCTGCACTGTAAGCAGGAGCTCCATGTCAAGAATGTGGGCTGTGTTTGTGCACTTGTGCTTTTCCCAGCAGATAGTGACTCACTGCTAACACAATGTCATCTCAGGAGTGGATTCAGGATGGACGTGCATCGATTTCAATGCATACCATTCTTTCTTGAATTAACTTAGGATATTAATTGAGCAAAAATGTATTTGCTAAATGCCGATGTGATGTTGCATTTCTTGCAAAGAGTAGTTACTATAAAAATTTGTTATCTGAAATTATGGACACATTTCCTAGTTTTATATTATTTGTGCGTTCACACAGAATTCAGCTATTATTTGAGACTACGGAGACATATTATTAAATATTTTTATTTGAGTAACAACAAAATCAAATGTCACAAATCATATTTTACATCGTTTGATGACTGTACGACAATTAAGCAGCAGCCTGACTGTTATGATAATGGTGGTGACTCATAAAAGAATGACTGTTTCAGTTTGTATGTGATGTCAGGATGTTCCGGGTGTCTTCAGGACTCACAGGCTTCCTCTGTGTGTTTGGGTGTTAGAACCTGCTGTTGCTGAACCCGACAGAGCGATTTCTCACGGAGCAGAGCCTCAACCACCACACCTTCCAGACAATGCGGCTGGTGGAGCGACCAGGCCCACCCACACCGACACCTGTACGCTCCTCCAAGAGAAAACCTCACCATGGAGACAACACCACCCCCAGCAGGTCAGCAGCAATTGATGGATAGATTTAATGCAATTAACATATAATAAGAGTAAGGGTCCTCTGATGGATCCCTGTTGAACACCAAATGGTCTGTATTAGTGCTTTTTTAGTTTTCACGACCACTCAAAGCACTTTTGGGTACATTTGGCATTTGCCCATTCACACACACATATACAAGTGCATCTATGTGCAGCACTCTCTTTCATACATTAATCCTCCTTGTATGATAGAGTGTCCTTGTTTCAGTTCCCTATTGTGAACCAAGACTAGGATTGAACCACCGACCCTCTGGTTATTGGATTACCCGCGAGCCCCCAGAGCCACAGCCACCATACAACCCCATATTTACACACCAAGCAAAATTACTTTAATGTGATTCTTACCATCTGACTAATATGTGGCATAAAATTGAATACATGATGCACAGTTAGTTGACCTTTCTTCTCTCTCTCAGGAGCCATGGGAGTAAGAGCTCAGGAAGCCATCGCTCCAGCAGCAGAGAGGGCTCCAGCTTGCCACGGCATGAAGACCTCCACCCCAGCAACGACAGCTTTCTCAACGGCAACATGCCTGCAGCGATCAACCTCAGCCCCACCCTGCATCCCAAGAACTACCAGCCGCAGATCTTTAACCATTCCACTTCGTGCAGCATGGACCTAGCCAGCAGCAACCTGCCTCACTTGCTCAGTCCTGGTGAGGCCAAGGGCAAGGGTGACTTCGAGATGAGCTTGGGATCCAAGGCGTCAGACGGCCCCGGAGCCAAGTACCTCAAAGCCAATTTCCGCTCACAGCAGAACCGCCACTCCTTTGTGGAGGGAAAAACCAACACGCTTCAGTCAGGGGATAAACATAGTAGACACAGCTACATGGAGTCTCACAGCTCCACACCCTCCTCCTCCAAGTTTGCCTACCTGAACTTATCCAAGAGCTACGGTACGCTTAGTGATGCCAAGTCAGTTGGAAACTTAAATGATGTGCATCTCTATGCAGATGAGCCTACAGCACGCTATTTTCCTTCAAGCTGCCTTGACCTCACAGCTCCGAGCAGCCCAGCAGCCCGCCGAGTCGACAGACTGGGACTCAGCACAGCTAGCCGAGGAAGCATGCGCTCAGAAAGGGAAAGCAACACTCTTGACTCCTCTTACAGGCGCTCATCCATCCGCCACAAGGCCTCAGAGGAGGTCAAGTCGCCAGATACCCTGGACCCTGGGGAAAGTGGCGTCGAAAGGACCCACTCTCACTCTCTGTCCGCCCCACATGACCCTCTGCCTTACGGTCAGGGATACACTAGCCCCTTCTCCTCCCAGCAGAGGCCGCACCGTCACTCCATGTACGTACGGAGGGACCACCAGAGGACACACGGGGCGGACGAGGGGCTGGTGGTGGGTCAGGGCATGCCTACCAGAGCCAGCAGCCTCCAGCTCCTTTCTCCACAGCTGCAGCACCGCACGCTGCCTCACCACTCTGGGGGCTCCTCCAGAGAAGAAGACATAAGCAGGGTCAGTCACCAGCCCACATCACTCTCCAAGCTAAAGGAAAGCCTAAGCCTACAGGATGTAAACATATCAGATGCCTACACCAGGTTGTGTTGGATAACTCTTCCTTGGTGTCAGTGTGTACAAAAACACGGCAAGGGTTTATTTTGGTAGCTTCTGAAAACATCATGATCTGTGTTTAGCTTTTTTTGCTCGATCTTGTCAGTCAGTATCTCAAGATTGGAAAGAATTGGAAAGAAAGGATTAACATAGCTGCAGCTTCATCTATGAATGATGTGTTTAGATCTTGCTCTCCTGTTAGGATATACAGTGAATCACATCAACTGTATATTTATATATACTGTAGAGACACATATAGTATATATAGTGTGTGCGTGTGTGTATTCGTATGTGCGCTGCAATGCTGACCTCACCTCATGCTTCATCATTTCTCCGTTAGCAGACTGAACAGGCACCCACTGAGGTCACCCACAGCAGACCCCCAATAAGGGACTCGACCAGGGACAACTCTGCATCTTTTCACACACAGCGGCAAAAAAGCGAGGTCCGACATTCTGCCTGCACCCACCATTCCCCACCCACATCCAGTCTTCTGAGAGTGTGGATGTGGGTGGATACTGCTGTCATGAACTGCTCGCTCTCTCTTTTTCTCTCTCTCTCTTTCTCTCTTCCTCTCTCTCTCCTCATCAGATGCCTCTTCATTTTCTCTGTGTGCTTTGCTTCCCTCTAAAGTGACTACTTACGATAGCACAGTCAAGCTTGTCATCGCAGCACATTTCAGTTTGGTTCTGAATACATTTATAGCCTCCACAGATGCTGTTTTAGTTTAATGACCACTTGTAAATCAATACACCTCCCCCTTTTTTCCCTGTTATTTAAGGTACATTTTAAAAATCAGCTCAGATAGAGAAGCATGCAGAGCAGTAGGCCTCTGTGGTTTTATGTGACGAGTTTTTCTGTTGTGACTTAGGTCGGCTTATATCATGACCAGCAAACAGAAGACGGAGGCTCCTCCAAAGAGAATCGGAACATCTACAGTGAATCCATGCCAAGGAGAGTGGGAAGCTTCTACAGAGGTTGGTTTGGGCAGATAGCACTTTTATTCACTGCACTGTGCACATCGAGTTGTTGAGCATCTGAATCTGTCTGTGGTTTACTACAAATCTTACACATCTAATATATTTATTGGTCAGAGTTAAAGCCAGTGTATATGGAATTCTTACTGATAACTGAATACTCTCATCCAGGGTGGATTTAAAATGAAAACATTAACCCTGTCAGCAGCACTGTGAGACTGTACCCCAGCACTGACTTGTTTAAGACTCAGTTCTGTTAGTAACAGTGTTACAAAAATAACAATAGGAAATAAATGTTTTTATTTTAAGTAAATTTACTCTTTGGTTAGCTGAAATTGACGACAGAAAACAAAGTCCTTTTGTAAATTTTGTTTAGGATGTTTTACCTTACAAATCCTTTTAATTTGTTTTGGGTTACAATTCACAGTCTTGTCTAACATGTATATAATACATCACATAGTTATACAGTATATTTTGAAAGTAATGTAAGCCTGCATGGTAAAGCATGCAGAATGTGTTGGAGCTGTACAGAACTGTAATCTGTCGATTGTCCTCCTGAATGAACTTGTTTGCTGTGTTTGTTGAACAGTCCCTTCCCCCCGGCCAGACAACTCCTTTCATGATAGCAGGGGTCAGAGCCGGGGCTCTGGCTTGTCCGGGGACAGCAGCGGTTTGACGAACCACTCCAAACGCCAGCCAGCCTTTGACCCTTGGTAATTATGCACGTAGTTTAGTTAATTCACCCAAAGATATCTTCTCTAACTGAAGCTACATGGAAAACACCCATTTGTTCTTTGCCTGTTGTTCTGGCACATTAAATAGATAAATAAATAAAAATTGGTGGCTTTAACATAAATTGTCAGGTCTTATTAGGACTTGGACGACATTGCGCTCAGTCTCCTTTGATTTATTTTCAGGACTGGCCCAGATACTGTTGTGTTAAACTCCTCCGAGCCGTCCAAAGAAAAAGAGAAGCAGGGTTTCTTCAGATCAATAAAGAAAAAAAAGAAAAAATCTCAAATGGTGAGTTGTACCTCTAGTTCTGAGGGTGCGAGTCGTGTCTGGATCCTCACGCACATGTCCTTTGGATGTCAACACCTTGTTTGTTAAGCTGTCTGTCTACATACTACACCTCTTCCTCTACTTTTCAAATGTTTAACACTTGTATTCGCACATGTACAGACATATAAAGCCATGTCTTCTTGTTGTGTTGTGCTCATGTTCCCTGTGCCACCAGTCATGTGCCTCTATATTACAGATGGAAGTCCCCGGTGGAAGGCCTCCTGTCATCAAGAAATGTCTTTTCCCTCTGTTTAGCCCAAAGAATAACATAAAGCATAGTTCCTCTGTGAGAGTCCTCCCTGTAGTGTCCTCTCCCATGGTACATGCTGTTTTACACTTTCCTACTCACCCTGCAGCTCAGTCTCACCCCACTAACAACGCATGCAGTAGTACCATTAATCCACTGTTTTAATGTCCCTTTAAACAGAATTGTTCTCTGGTTTTATTTGATACTTTTATTTAAAGAAATGATGCATTGTGGTTGATTCACTTAACAATGAATTGCTAACACAAACAAGCCAGATCCATAGAGGCAGGAACAATAACACAAAATATTAACAATGAGGTAATAACCTGCCTGTTTTGCGTATTGAAATAATAAATGATCTTTTTTGGGGAAGGCTATTCACAAATCTTTTTCCAGTAAACTGTATGGATCTGGCTGTGTTCAGTCCATCAGATTCTGATCAATGACCACTGCCCTGAAAGCATGTCTCTGGTTATGATCTGAGGATGAGTGAGAGAACTCAGCTTTTGTATGACATGAGATTTTAGTTAGTGTGTGTGTGTGTCTGTGTATGTATGTCTGTCTGTCTGTGTGTGTCTGTGTATGTTTGCTTGATTTGTGACTGGATGTATAGAGCATAGGATGAACCAGAAGAGTTACTTAATATGAGAAGAAAGTATATTTCTACATGTTTCACTGCCTGAAGTCCTGGTGACAGTAACAGTTCATCGTGAAACAGGTGTGAGACGCTCTCGTCCCTTCACTTCTCTATTTATATGTGACAGTTTGTTCAGATTCGGAGAGGAGGGTTTCTGCTGATCACAGAGCACAAATAAACGCAATCTGGCCTCAGGCAGTCAGACTCAGAGCTGGTGGAAAATAGTGTGTGTGCTGCTCAAAGAGTAGATGGTCTCATGAAAAGCTTCATTTTAGATTCATCATATACAAGATGAGGTGTCGCTCCTCTTCCTCACATCAGGACATGCTTTGGGTTTCTGGCTCCAGATGCATGTTTATTTGTTTTTTTCCTTATGACTTCACTGCTCTTGAGATCAAACAATGCAATGACCAAAATTAACTCAAGACTCATGTCAGTGGTAAATTGACACATGTCAAGGACAACACATAACAGATATGTTTTCTCAAGAAAACATAAGATTTTTAGGATTTAATAATCTTATATTGATATAACCTGTGCTGTAAACGTTGTTTATTCCACCTCACAAAAATTAAGCACATTCATTGTGTTTCTTGTTGTCCTTCACATTGTGTGGACCTACCTTTGTCATGAGTGTGACATTAGGTTTGATGATAACTGATTTTCACTGTGCGACAGGTCCCTACTGAAGGGGTGGATGCAGTCATCCAGAAGTCGTCCAGGTCTTCAGGTCACCAGAGCGGCCGCCACAGAACCCGTGACAAGAGCCGAGACCGAGACAGGGACAGGGACAAGGACTGGCCTCCTGAGAAACTGTCAGATTCACATTCTCCGGTAAGTCTCAAAGAAGAGATAAAGGTGTCTCCTTCTTCTTCTTATTCTAAATGTTAGATATAGAGATGATTGTCGTGTGGTGTGTCATGTCTTATTTTTTAGAGTCAGCCACTGAAGTCACTGCGCAAGCTCCTGCACCTTTCATCCTCCTCCTCCAACCAGACGGCGCCCTCTGATATGCGCTATCAGCCACTGCCTAATCCAGCCTCCGCTCAAGGTGGTTTCACAGAGAGCCGGGGCCACTCAGGGGTCAGTACGCCCCAGCTGAAGAGCCGACAGGCAGCCTACCCGCTGCCTGCACAGCTGGAGTCCGGCTGGCACACGTCCGCCCTGGGCCGCCCCGAGGGCAACCCTTACCCGGAGCAAATGAGCATCAAGGGAGGCCAGAACGGGCACGGCTTCGGACGCCCGTCCAGGTCCCGTATGCCAAACCTCAATGACCTGAAAGAGACGGCGCTGTGATCTCTACTGCCCTCACACTCACTGGGGATGACGCTTTTCCTCTGTTGCTCCTACACCTCCCTTATGTTACAGTACACCTGCTGTGTACACACACACACACACACACACACACACACACACACACACACACACACACACACAC